TAAGTAATTAGCACCTCAGAGGTGAAGGCGTTAAAATTACTAGTGAACAGAATATTCAGATTCAGATTTTCTGTAAGGCACAAAGAGCAGAAGTCAATGTGAATGAGAACCTCTCCATAACACAATTATTCAAGAGCAGCAATTAAACAATATATGTTTTATTCAGAACACATTTATTGTCATGCATTCCATTGCCTTACCCCTCTGTTGTTGTTTTCATTGGCCTTATTCAATGAAAGCCAAGTGATTTGAAAAAAGAATTCAGTTCACCAGTATGCTAATATCACATATGGTGTTATTTGATGCACTTATATAAGATACACAGTCATACGCAAGACGCATTGCTATCAGAATACAAAAAAGCCAAGGCCATGCTGTGGTTCTGACAGGAAAGTATTTTTAGGTGTGCAAAAGATGTGGGTTTTGTTCCACAATTCCCTGACATACATTCCCTGTTCAGAAAAATCAGTCTAGCAGGGAGGTGAGGCAATAGCACAGTCTCTAGAGACACCTGAACTGCCAAGGTCTATTTTTGGCCCTGCCACAAATTTGGCATGTGAGAGGAAAATCTCCTGCATGTATTAGAATGCTAAGTGTGCAGAAGGATTCCTGAAATATGAACAGACGGCCTGATTTAAACAGGATGTCAGGCCCTTCCAAGTTGCCACGGTTTTCTTTTCCAAGCAAAGGCTCCTGTTACTGTGATGCTTCCCCTATTTCCCTAAGCCACGGCACGTGCCAAGAGCACAGTAGTTGCTTTCCTTTGGAAGGAGGTCGCTGGAAGCTCATTGGCTTTTTTTGCAATGTTTGAGTTTATCTGCAAGTTTACAGGAGCATGGGTGGAGGTTCGCAATATAAAACATTGCAGCAGGTTGCCAAAGTCCACATCAGATCATCCAGCACCCTTAAGGTGGTTACAGAGCCCAAACTCAGCTTTCTCAAAAGAGTTTCTTCTGGCATGTTAAAGACTAACAAATGTATTGTGGCAAAAGCTTTTGTGACGTAGGGCCCATTTCTCTACTCCAGCCCACGAATGCTTACGCCATAATGGCTTTGGCAACTTCAAAATCAGTTTACTGAAATGCCCTCTACGTGGGGGTATCCTTGTGCCTCATCCAGAAGCAGCAGTTACTCATTTTGAAGTAAAAGCAGCTTGGGTCAGATCCAGAAAATGTTCCCTTGCTCACTGTTTGCTTCTGCATAAAAACACCTTCAAGGGCTAATGGGGGCATTTTCAGAGCATGCATGATTGAAAGCGCATTCTCGATTACAGCTCTGCAGCTGATTTTTCTTCAGCTAACAAATGGCCAGTTTAAGCATTAAAAAACCCACAAAAAGTGAGAATAATGCAATATTTAGTTTTGCCCATATCAACAAATATCTAGCAGCATGCAAAGGATAGACCATTGCTAGGCATCATCTTCTTTAGAGCAAAAGCTTCCTGGGAAAACTGGGAAAGGCAATTGATTTATTAGCCACTTTTCTACTTAAAAACACCCAAAGTGGCACAAAACAAAAAGCACAATAATCAATAAAATTTACCTAATACAGTACAACAATAAAAGCTCAGTAAAAGCCTAAAGTCAGCTTGGCTGCAAATTGCAATATAACCAAAGCCTAGAAATCACAACCTAAACAAATGTAGCAGTAAAAAAAATAACCCTAAACACGAAAGCTTTCTGTCCTGCTCACAGCAGTTTATGCACATTAAAGGATGCCAGTATCACTCTGCTGGCTCAGAGCCTTCCATTCCACTCGCCAAATGGGTAGGCAGGTGGAAGTGTCACTAGCAGAAAGCTGGGGAGCGGTGGAGTTAGGATCACTCACTTAAGCCTTCTTAATCCTTCTTCTTCTTGGTGTATCAACAAAAAAAATCAAATAATTTTTTTTTTAAAGTCTGTAATCCTATATCCCTGGGATGACTCATCTTTATTTCCTTCTTTTTGGACTTAGCACCAAATTAATCCATGCTCAGTTCTCGGGGGTTGAGAGAAGTGTAAAAGTGAGTGTGACCCAGTTTTTGTGACCCCACATTTCAGGTGTCTTGAGGGGTCATGAAAACCTTTTGATGTCACAGAATTATGATACCGACTGTGTTTTCCCAGTGGATCAACTGAATTCAATGGGACTTTATTCTAAGCAAACATGTGTTGGATTGTACTGTAAATGATGGGACAGCCTCTCAAGCAGCCCTTTACCAATGCCAACCGTCTTAAGACACAAACTTTCCCACCTGCAAGACATTTTTGGCATATTCTGAATGTACAGTGGTACCTCTAGTTACGTTCCGCTCTCATTACGGACTTTCAGCTTACGAACACGGCCAACCTGGAAGTGTTTACTTCTGGGTTCGCCACGCACGCATGCGCAAAAGCAATCCCCTGCTTCACGCATGTGCAGAAGCGCTCGATCACGCCATGCACATGTGCGGAAGAGGCACTCTAGTTGCAGATTTTTAGGGATGCGAATGGTACCCTGAAACTGATTAAGTCCACAACTAGAGCTACCACTGTATTGTTGTGTAAGAGTGGGTAAGTACTTCTGGATCCTTTGCTGTTGCTTGAGGCACAGGTGGCCTCAGTGGCAGGGATCTGGACAGGGATAGCCTAACTCCTGGTAATCTCTAGGTCAGATTACTGCAATGTGTCATCCATGGGGCTGCCTCTAAAGACGGTTCGGAAACTTCAGCTGGTGCAGAATTCAGCAGCCAGCTTGCTCGCCAGGGCAAGCCAGTTTGAGCATATAATGCCAATTCTGACCCAATTACACTGGCTGCCAATCAGTTTCCGGGCCCACTTCAAAGTTCTGATTTTGACTTATAAAGCCTTAAATGGCTCAGGACTGCAATACCTCAAGGTTCACCTCTCCTCCTATGAACTGACCCGGATCCTGCGATCATCATCTGAGGCCCTTCTTCATGTGCCTTCGCCACAAGAGGTCTGGAGGATGGCAACACGAGAATTGGCCTTTTCTGTGGTGGCTCCCCATTGGAGAAATGCTCTCTCCTGGGAGGCTCACCTGACACCTTCATTAAATAGCTTTAGGCACCAAGCGAAAACCTTTCTCTTCAACCAGGCCTTTGGTTGATTAACATTCTATGTCCTCCTAAATGTGTTTTTGAGAGGGGGGCTATTGGTTTGTTCTTGTTTTTATTATGCATTTTGTGTTCTCATTTTGAATTTCTGCCTTGTGATCTCCGGATGAAGGGCAGCACACAAATTTAATAAATTTAATAATGATGTAAGAATGGTTAACAGTTTATTTCCAATAAAATATTTTTCGCCACTGGGGATGCAAGTGTTCGTCCCTCTGTGCAATTCTACTCTGGGCTTGAGATATCTCATTTATGCGGGCTCTGTGCTGTGGATGTACGTTTTCCGCCCTGTCTCTTTAAACCTTTCCCATGCATCCTACAGTGTGCGACAGAGCACCATGATCAAGGCATCTACATATATAACATTATCTTTGTAGTTGCAGCCGCTAAGCTCAATATCCCACACTGCTGCTGCTCCGGTTTACCGAACCTACTATGCAAGCGTAAGGAAGTCGTTAGGATCGGCTGAAGCCTGGTTTTGTTTTATTTATTGTAATTATTTTAAAATTAGCATAAACACTGAAAGATTTAGGACTCTACAGCATCCAAAAGCCTCTGGCACTTCATGGAAGCTGGCACCTTCAATTTGAACCACTTTGAGAGTGATAACAGTTGCTTTGAAATTGACACGGTTCACGCTGAAGCTGGTCTTCAAAGAGAGGAACTGGCATTAGGAAAAAAATTAAAATCCTCCAATCCCAGCTTGTGCTTCTGGCGCACAGCACATGCATATACATCCCATAAGGAGCACAGTCTGCATCGTGCGGTTCTTTCGTACTTAATAAAATTAACATTAGCAACAGAAAATAGGATTTGAGGTGACATTTCAGCCAAGGATTTTTCCCCCACAGCTGAAAAGGAGACCATAGCTAAGGGGGAGGGGAGGAACAGCAAAATTCTGATCCTTTTAAAAATCCCTAGCATGGTTTCATTAGCTTCTTGAACTAAGATTGGCTTGGCCCATTGAAGAGAGATATGGAACAAGAGCAAACGAGAAAGAATAGACTGCTTACTTCACATAATCTTCCCCCGAAGTGCGTGTATTTCATAACTGCTGTGTGCTGATGCAGGACACCTACTTGCACTTATTTACTTACATCAGCTTGTAAGAGGGATAATTCATCAAACAGGTAAAAAAAGAAAACGCAGAACTGTGCAAGATGCCTTTTTTTTTTTTTTGAAGCAGTAAAACCCATCCAAGCAATTTGTCATCCGAAATTATTCATCCATCATTATTTTCATAACATTCAAAGGTAGGCAAAGAAGATTCCATACCAGCAGAAATGTGCATTGAGAAAAAAGCAACCATTAGAAACATCCTAGTAGAGATTAATTTTTCTCTTTCATCCTCTTCTCTCCTGCCCCCCCCCCCCGCAATGAACCTTGCTCATATCTAGAGTGGGAATAATGTTCCTTGACTTACGATTGGCTGTCCTGCTTTGATCACTCTGGACGCTGTCATTCGACTGGTTGCTTGAGATCGACGAGACACTGGAGCTCCTGACAAAGCCAAAGGCTGCTAGTTTAGCGGCCGGCAAGCGGGAATAACCAGGAGGGCGAAGTCCAGACTGACACGGCTTGGGAAGGTTTGATTTCGTAGCATTTGGATTCGGGCCTTTTTTGAGATCAACTGGGGGTAGAAATTAAAAATGTTATACGAAAACACAGTAAGCAAGGATTGCATTACAGTGCTGTGTTTATTGGAAACGAGCAGTCTTAGGATCTAAAGTAGGCCATTCTTTTGGCCTTTTTCAAGTTGGCATCTTTTAAACACACCCACACACCCATATCATCACCACCAGTGGAGTTAAAAGCACTAGACTAGAGCTGAGCAGGCGTTTTTCAGTAGAGTTGGAATAGACCACAAAGGTCCTCTAGTCCAACCCCCTGCAATGCAAGAATCTTTCACCCAATGTGGGGCTCGAATCTACGACCCTGAGATTAAGGGTTTCATGCTCTGCCGACTGAGCTATTCCAGCTGAAACATATAAGATACTACAATAACTTTGGTTGGTTTTTGTAGGTTTTAAACATGAAAATGAAAAAAATGATATTAACGGTTAAAGATATCCCACATACCCCAGGTGGGTGCTTTGTAGGGGCCTCAGCTGTGCAGGGAAGAAGGTTAGAAAGTCACCCTGATCTTCCTCTCCCCTGCTGTACTCTGAATGGATTCAGAAATACTGGCTGCAAATAACTTCAGACAATGCCCCTTCCTTAATATATTGTGTGGTTCGCTCCCTTAGGCCTCCTGGCCTCTCATGAGACTATTGCTTCTCCATTGCCTTAGGTGGCTGAATTGCAATATTCCTTCTCCTTGGTGCCAGAGCTTCCTTTGCCATCACTCCAGTGGCTGGGACAACCCTTTTGTTTTCAGGAGCCAACGCCCTTGTTGTGCTGTGGGGCTGGCTGTGGTCAGGCCACTCAAGTCGCTTTCATCGCTCTGATGGGATGGAGAATCCAGTACACGACCGTATTTATGATAATCAGCACTAACTGGGACTACTGATAGAAAATCCATGCGTAACACAGATAGCATTATATTCAATGGGGGGCACTGACATTACAGCTAGGCTGTCAGAGCAAATGTGAAAGAAACTTAATGGCAGGGTGCCATCCTCCTGCAGGGAAATACATTTTTCAGCAGCAAATTAAGTGTAATGGTAAAATTTAATACTGTCTTCTAAAGAAGAGTTATAGCACATCCACCTTCTGTCTGATGTCTTTATTATTTAGAATTTCCTAATTACTTGCTCAACAGGGGTATAATCTCCATTTTGAAGGATTTCCAGAAAATCATAGGTTCTAATAGGAAGGCTTTCAGCACAGGAAAGCTTGCTTTAGATACAGGATAGCCGTATTTAAACATCACAACCTTTTTCATGCAGCATACTAAAAAGGACTTTCCCCATGGTGCCAAATAACAATCCCTGTAGAGGGTGAAACATTTCAGAGTTTCCCAGAGTTTCCCAAGTCATGGAGCATCCGTACTCAAGCACCACCACACCCAAGGATAAGGAGCTGTCCTTATAACACCATAAAGAGTTTTTAAATGTTACACCAAGAACACCATCAAGGTGGAGCAATTGTTGAAAGTGTAATACTTTAACTCGCCTTCAGGCAGGGCCTAAACTGAATGGCTTACGGACAGTCGACTATACAGCTGAGATAATAGAATCCATCTTTTGATTCCTGCCACTTCATTACAGTGTGTCAGGACCTATTGGCCAATGCCCCATGTGGTGAAATGTACAACCACAGTCTTTCAGTGCTCTGGTCTGGCTCCACCCACGAGGATGGCCATTGGCTCCACATGGGCAGGATGGAATATAGGTAGGTTCCCAGTCGCAGTGGTGCTTTGCTTGAGCTCTGGAGTGTCTTGCGTTCCTAGCCTTGTTCTTCAATTCTGACTCCTACCCTTGGCTTCTGATTGTTGTTTGCTCTTGACTCCTGGTTCTGACTTGCTCCACTGCCTCCCGTGGACAAGTGCTTCTATGCAAACATGGTGGTTTTATCCAAAATTTGTTAGTATTCACTGAACAGCAGTGGGGTGACTGACTACAGCTACCAGCAACTTTTCTTCAATGATCAGAGATCCAGACAATGTTATTTTAATCTCCGGTATTAATTTCAGTTGATCTGTCAAAATAAGCAAGAAGAAATGCTCCATTTCGTAGCTGCCTGAAGGCAGTTTCAGAATTAAACATTGTCTGTGCTCTACAAGAATCAGTCTCTTTGATGCTTTCGCTGTCCCCTGTTAGAGGACTTTAAAGTGTTTCCAAGTACAGACTGGCTGACAAAAGACAGATGTAACTGGAGTTATAAGGACATCTGAAAACCGCCGTAGAGGATGCGTTCACCATGGAACAGCAAATACAGCAAATCATGCAGGGAGATGATGAAGGGTTGAAGTAGACATGATGATGGCTGCTCCATGGGAAAGAACTGAGTTTCAGCAGTAACAGCTAGAGATGGATAAATCAAGTTTGTAGCTGAGTGGCTCCCAGGTCTGGGACTTGGGGAGTCCACTGATTCTGGATATGACCGCACATGAGTGCATTTTAAAAAGGTGCATATTAGTGCATATTTAAACTATTATATGTGCAACTTGTATACAGTTTGGCCTAATACACATATTTGCAAGCAATTTATTTTAATAAAATGCATTTTTATATTTTCACTAATATACGCATTTTATACCCACTTTCCCCTAACATACACATTTTTATCGGGGGGGGGGGGGAGGTTGCTGAGCGTATTGTGAAACTCAGATAATTGTGATAAAGCCACTTCCGAACTGGCGAGGAGGTGGGGTTGCGGGCCCATGCCCTCCCCTCGCACACGGGGGCTGGCTTGCAGCACCTGCGAGAATGAGGGAATCCTCAGGCGCGTCAGCTCCCTGCCTAGTCAATCGGCTGGTCAGGGAGGCGTGGCCCGGGCTATTTATGCCCAGCACGCCCGAGGACCGCCCTCTCTTCACCTCTCCAGCTGATTAGGTTGGGCGGTTAGGCATTGGTAAGGGTATTGTTATGCAAATGAGGGGGGGGAAAGGAAGTGCCATCACCTTTCCCCAAAGCAAAGGGTAGTCCGGCAAAGGATTCCGGGGGGTGTTGCCCTGTCCGAAGCCTATGGAGGTGTGGGCCTAAGGCATGCCCCCGAGCGGCGACCCCGGGGGAGATCCTAGTTGATGTACATCAGCAGGACTCCCCCTACTGGTGGTTAACCCTCACCAGTCTTCATGCAATCGGGCTGAAGCCGGTTAGCTGATAGGACCAATGCCTAAGCCAATACCGCTCAATTCCTGCAATCAATAAAGTTGTGGCCACGTTTCGCCCATTAACCTTATATACCGTGTCCTGTATCTTTATTTCTCAAGGGGGGAGGGGGACTTGCCACGCAATTGTGAATTCTGCATAAAACCGCATTTCCCAGCAAATGGTATTCAGAGGTATACTGCCTCTGAAACTGCAGATAGAAGAGCAGTCTCCCATGGCATCTATTTAAATTATTTAGTTCCATCAATTCAGGGAAATGGGATGAGCATCATAATGCAGAAGGAGGGGTTTGGGGTTTGGGTGTACCCATATCTATATATTTATTGGAAAAATTTATCTTCCTAAACCAGGGCAAGTGGAGTGGAGCATGTTACTTGGGTATGCACATTTGTATTAGAAAGAGAGAATTACCTCCCTACCTCTGAAATTTATCTTGGTTCATTCAAGATGCTTCAGCTGAGCATTTCTACTTGCAGGGGCCACCCAGGGCATCTATCTAAATGCTGACCACTGACAAAGATGCCATTATCCATTTTCCCTCCCCCCTACTGTAACAAATTATAAAAAACCAGTCATCCAACAAAGGCTACAGCAGCTTGAAACCAATAAACCTTTTTAATGTCTTGCTTTGGTGGTTCTCTGAAAACAGAGGCACTGGGATATCAGCATCAGCTGCTTTCAGGGCAAACACTGTTAGTTTTCCTTGAGAGCCGCCGTATGCCATGCTGTGGAAGAATTACGAGCTTTCTGCATCAAGTGAAGATAAAACTTTCTGGCGGCACATTGGGTCTGCCCCAGGTATTGCAGCAGAATGAAGTCTTTTTAAAATTGTGTTAGTGGTTCAGCATATACTGCAAATGTCTAGATGCTGGGGCTTAGAGTTGAAAGTCAAGATCAGGCAAGATCAGGTGGAAGTAATTGGTAACTTTGCCTGCTAGTCTTGTTGGTAAAGCACTCTGCTTAAGGTAAATTCTTCAGTCTTGGAAGCAGGCCTGGGACTATAATTAACTACTTGCAGGCAATCAAGTAGTCACAAACAGAATACTCTGGGCATAGGCTGGGTAGCTCAGTCAGTAGAGCATGAGACTCTTAATCCCAGGGTTGTGGGCTTGAGCTCCAAATTGGGTGAAAGATTCCTGCACTGCAGGGGGCTGGACTGGATGACCCTCATGGCCCCTTTCAACTCTACAATTCTATGATTCTTAGTCTGGTTCTGTTGTTATGCAGCAGGTTTTTCCAGCTTATCTGAGATGCTTCCAGTCATAGAGCTGTTTTCTTCTGACTTCCATCTGGACTGATCCTTCTGCACCTCCTCTATGGAACTCCCTGCCCATTGATACTAGGCACTGCCCTGTTTTTGGCACCAGGCAAAAATTGCTTCTGTTTAAGCAAGCCTATCCAGACAGTACTTGTCCTCCGCTCTTCCTCAGTAGCATGTTGGACGCCTTCCGACCTGAGGGGCTCATCTTCCAGTGTCATAACTTTTATATGCCTGTTGTCTTTGTCCATGGATTTTTCTTGGCAGGGATACTGGAGTGGCTTGCCAGTTCCTGCTCCAGGTGGATCACGTTTAGTCAAAACTCTCTACTATGACCTGTTCATCTTGGGTGGCCCTGCACGGCATAGCTCATAGCTTCTCTGAGTTATTCAAGCCCCTTCGCCACGGCAAGGCAGTGATCCATGAAGGAGTTACTACTACATGCTACTGAAGAAGAGCAGAGGACAAGTATAAGTAGATTCAGAGCTGATGAAGCGGCTGGGCCAAAGCCGAAAGGTCGCTCAGTTGCGGACAGGCCTGGAAGCAAAAGGAAAGTCCAATGCTGTAAAGAAAAATATTTCATAGGAACCTGGAATGTAAGAACCATGAACCTTGGTAAGCTGGATGTGGTAAAAAATGAGATGGCAAGAATAAATATTGACATCCTGGGCATCAGTGAACTAAAATGGATGGGAATGGGCAAATTCAGTTTGGATGACCATCATATCTACTACTGTGGGCAAGAATCCCATAAAAGAAATGGAGTGGCCCTCATAGTCAACAAAAGAGTGGCAAAAGCTGTACTGGGATGCAATCTCAAAAAATGATAGAATGATCTCGATACGAATCCAAGGCAGACCTTTTAACATCACAGTAATCCAAGTTTATGCACCAACTACCGGTGCTGAAGAAACTAAAATTGACCAATTCTATGAAGACTTACAAC